AGGGGGGGGGGGGGGGGGGATCCCATATAATTACATTGACAGAATTGTCAAATGACTCAAGACATGTAATCTATCTTTTACTCAACTCAAGCAACTGCCAAGAAACCATCCAGAGGACCCTAGTAACACCACAGCAACTGGATTGAAACCTAACAACTGCTCCACTGTTTGGTTGATGGACTGTGTGATCTTCAAGCTTTTAAAACTGCTTCAATTTTAAAACCTCCTAATTGAAGTAGTTTTAATCAAACTTTCTGGCCAGGCTTTCTCAGGCCAACATCAAAGTATTTATTTTATCTAGTGGTACAGTCTGCCAGTACAGCAGTGCTGAATCACATACCTTCTTCTCCTGCTCGAGTCTCATGTCCTCTCGGCTGTGCTCCAAGGTAGAAACCACGGCTCTCTCCAGCGCTTTCTGATCCTCCAGCTTCTGCTGCTCCAGAGCCACCTCGATGTGGATCTGCTCCCTCACCCGCTGCTCCGCCAGCTCACGGTTCAGCTGGTCGATGCGCCGGTGAGCGTGAGCGATCAGAGAGGTCAGATCATCTGCGCTCAGCTTTCCCGCTGAGAAAGAGCACAGAGCAGCATTACAGGAAGAATGACAGGAGTAGAGACATCACGGTGATGCACGTAATGACTGCAGCAGTTTATTATTTCAGTATGTGGAAACTGTAATACGATAAGATACGACTAGTTGGTGGGACGCCTGAATGATCTGGTCTTGAGAAAGCCTTCTATAATTAGATTGGTTGTGGGTTAGTCTGACCATGATATGCTTCTATTGTGTTTTTGCATCCAAAAACAGATTGATGGAGCACAACAAAATGAAATGGACGGGGGTGTTCAGATGAATTTTTAACATCACATGCCGGTATGACATTTATTTTTTATAAATAGATGCGTGAAATTTGCTAGAAGTGCATTTATGCTATCTGCAATCTTTCATTAAAATTAATTTCACTTGCTTTAATATTTCGTTATCTAATGCAATGGCATTTTATATGTGACTTTTTATATAAAATGTTTCAAATTCTTCCTAGGCCACTGCTTTGATACAGTAAAACACATGGTTTATACAGTTAAACGAAAGCGAACAGAAATGCAAATCTAAGGGAAGAAAAACAAGGTTGAAAAATGCATCTGAACTCTGAAGAATAAATGGCCTTCTAGTTTTATTGTGCTACATTGAAATAAATTTGTAACCTAAAATTAGAGATGTCGATAAAAATTCTTCATCACAATTAATTTCGTATTTTTTTGTTGGTAATTAACACATTCAGTTCCTTTTTTAAAGGAAAGAAAATATGTGCAATTATTGGGTTTGATTATTACTGTAAGATTTTTACGAATGATGCCGTTTCACTAATAAACTCCTAATAGAATGCAATTTCAACTTTTGTTAACCCTCCCCTACTGGGTTTAATTTAGAAATACATTTTCACTAATTGTCTTTCTCCATTTACTGAGAAATATCAGCTCTCTGTGCTCAATAAATGTCTTAACCGTGTTAAAAAAAATGAACACTTTTAAACATATTTAATTATTCGTATATATTAACTTTGACAGTGCTACTAAAAATACAGCAGATTTTAAACAGTTAAATCTGACAAACACTCAAAGGAGGGGAAAAAAGCATGCAGTCTTGATACATGAGATCAATGACAGACATGCGGTCTGGAGAGTGACACGAGTGTGTGAGATCTTACAGAGCCCCTTCCAGTTGGCCTGGGTCTCAGGTGTGATGTTGGCGAGCTCCTGCTGGAATTGAGCTTTGGCTTCATTCACCAGCTCACTGTACTGAGACACGATCTTCGCCTCTGTCTGTGCCGTCTGCACCTGCAGAAGAGACCGACAATACCCAGGTGTGACTTACAGACTCCAGATGGGACACGGTGATATGTTACCAAAGTCTCTGGGAGTATAAAGCTAAATGGATTACAGGCTCAATTCTCATTTATATGTACTGGGTTCCTGCAAAGCATATTAACATAGTCAGATTAAGATACTTGCCTTGGTTACTACTTTGTCCAGATCCACAATCATGCTGTGCAAGTTCTCCTCAGCGGCCAGGATTTGGGGTCTCGCTGTGTTAATCTTGGATTGTTTTGCACTGTTTATCACTCCACGCAGGTTTTCGAGCTCTCCTCTAAATACACACACACACAAAAACATAAATATATAAAACATTCAGTACGATTAAGCACCTCTGTGTAGGGCTGAGTGTTTCGACAGTATATTCCATTTAACAGTAAAAATGGACAGTTAAGGACTGCGGGAAAAAATATGGAAAAAATACAGAAAACAGTTTGGAGTCAGTATGATTTTTGTAAGAATTACAATTCATACTTTCATTCAGCAAGCATGCATTAAATGGATCACAAGTGGCACTGAAGACATTTATAATGTTACGAAAGATTTTTATCTCAAATAAATGCTCTTAATTTGAACCTTCTGTTTATTAAGGAATCATGAAAAAAAACATGTATCAAGGTTTCCACAAAAATATACAGCAACAAAAATTGTTTTTAAAGTTGATAATAAGAAGGAATGTTCCTTAGGCACCAATTCAGCACATTAAAATTACTTCTGGAGGAACATGTGACACTGAAGAAGACTGGAGTAATGATGCTAAAAATTCAGTTTTGCGTTACATTTTAAAATGTATTCAATTAGAAAACCGTTATGAAGCAGGTCTCACTTGGCTTTGAGCAGGGCTTCTTCAGCCTCTTCCATGGCTCTGGTCCTGTCACTCAGAGCCTCATTCAGTGCTTTCCACTGAGAGGACTTCTCATCTGGAGGAGTCTGAACACAAACACATGACAATGTCACGAGTAGCAGAAAATCAGCGTACTTAAAGCTGTGATCTCAATTCAGTCATTTGCTATATAATGTTCAGGCACATGCTATTTTTCCAAATATCAGCACGATTGCAAATGTTGATTGCAAATTGACTGTTTTTGCTCTAATTCACCAACTGAATAGCTCCAAACAAAGCAGAACAGTCGTGTTTCCCAGCAACACAGAGTGATTTTTTTTCTTTTTTCATAATTAAGCATAATTGTGAATTCCCAAACGCTACGATTTAATTAAATAATTATATGCGATGCAGTTCTACTATGAAATCCGTTTTATTTCCAAATTCAGTTTATTTCCATTTTCATTTTTCTATACTCTGTTTTAATGGTTAAATAAAACTGTATTAATCAAAAAGCCTGTCTAATTGATTGAGTTTTACAGTTTTTCTTTACCAAATTCTGTTTTCCAGTATTTTCTGGATTCCATTTTAATGGTTCCATTAAATTTTAATAATCAAAAGCATCTCCAATTAATTGATTTTATTAAAAACATTTTAAAGAAACTTTTTCAGAAATACAGCACATTTACATTTTTCTCCTAAATAAATAATATTTCTGGTAAATACTCCTTTAAAAAGTGTTTTTTGATTATGATTTTATTATTAGTAGACTAGAACACGTGGACATGTTGTCATTCTTACACTATAATACTGAACTTTGATTTCAGTAATTTGGACTATGAGATGGATGCACTTTACTTTTGCTTTAAAAAAAGGATTTCATAGAAATTTGGATTTCATTTGGTTTAATAAAATATAGTTTAATAAAATA